AAAAAAAAACTTAAATGTATCAATTTTTATGTTGTTAACAGAGGTACCAAATCTTTGGTATGGAATTCTTTTCGTTTCCATGTTAATAATTGCTATTATTCTTGGCTATACAACCGGTGCAAATTTACCTTTCTGGGCTGTATTGTTGGCTATTTCTCTTGCTGTACTCATGGTAATTCCAATAGGTATAATATTTATATTCACCTATTGAAAATATTTTTTGTTTAAAATATAATCTCATTATTATCTCTTGTTAATAGGCATTATTCAGGCCGTCTCAAATTGGCAACTTGGTTTAAATGTTATGACTGAATTGGTGTGCGGTTTTCTTTTACCCGGAAATGCCATTGGAAACGTATACTTTAAAACTTATGGATATATGTCTTTGTTTCAATGTTTATTGTTTGTTCAAGATCTAAAATTAGGTATGTCCCTTTTAAAAAAAAATATTATAGTTGAAGTTATCCAAATATTATTATTAAAATTTTTCTTTTAAATATTAAAAAGGTCATTATATGAAAATTCCCCCAAAAAGCATGTTCGTAGCACAAATATGGGGTACATTTGTTGGTATATTTGTAAATTATTGGACGTTGGCTATGATAATTCAGACAAAAAGACCTTACCTTGATGGTACAGAAGACGATCCAACCGGACAAGTATATATTTATATATTTATATATATTTATCATTGTGCCAAATTTTTTTGAAGTTGTATTTAAAAGAATGTTCTTTATTTATATTCATAGTGGGCTGGTTTTAATTCTGAAATATTTAATACTGCATCTATAGTATGGGGATTGATTGGACCGGCAAGAACTTTCGGGGTAAGTCAATTCAAACTTGTATAATAGCATTTCAAAGTCAATTATTTGCGTATAAATCTAATATTTCTTGTGATTTCGTAAATCAAATATTTTTGATGATTTCGATAGCGTGACTCAATTTATAATGTGCTCCTTTGGGGTTTCCTAATTGGTGGCTTTTTACCAATACCATTTTATTTGCTTCATAAAAAATTCCCAAATGCAAAATTCAATCTCGTTAATGTGCCAGTAATATTAAATGGTCTAAGTCTTTTCCCCGGAACTTATTCAAATTTCTTAATCACTGGTTTCCTTACAAGCTTTTTGAGTCAATTTTATGCTTTTCGTTTTCAGAAAAAGTATGTATATCGATATATTTTATCTATTTTTATTGTTATTTAAATACACAAATTTTAAATTTAAAAATTCTATTTATTATCTGATAGATGGTGGACAAAGTAAGTTTTTTTTATTTATCTATGTTTTTTAGTCAATACAATGATTTGAAACAATTCTAATTTGTTTATATAATTTATGATAGATATAATTATGTGATGTCTGCAGCATTTGATGCCGGTGCACAAATCATGACAATAGTTTCTTTCATCTTTCTTACTGGTATTTTACAGGTAGATTATTCTTTTAATATTTTTTTCTAGACTCTTTAACTTT